GTTTTATTTGTTGACTTTGTATTGGCATGTGCCTTCTTGTCAGCATCCCTGGAAAAGAAAGAAGTAGTTAACATGTTAAGTCCATCCATTCATGCAACTCCCATAGATTGACTGCACAGAGAAAGCTAAATTAAATATAAGAGTGCATAGCCCCCCCCCCCCCCCCCACCAACTCACCCCAAAAAGGGGGGGGGGGAGGAGACAGAGAACAGTTTGCCTAAGTTGCTTTGAACCTCTACTGCTGAAATTTATTGCAAATTTTTGTACATACAAAAAATACTGATATGTTTAATCATGCACTCATATTTTATAATTAGTGCATATTAAATAAATCATACAATCATTCATTTGAAAATAAACTAAATAGAAACTAGAACAATTGCATAAATATTCTAATAATCAGATAAATTCTCTCTCTCTCTCTCTCTCTCTCTCTCTCTCTCTCTCTCTCTCTCTCTCTCTACTGCAAACATTTACAAAACAAATGTCCTTTTTTATTCATAGGAAAGAACATGTATTTGGCAATTATGAAAGAGATGTAGCTGCTTAAGATATGCAACATTGCACAATCACTTATATATCCTCCTCTCTAATTCTAATCAAACTGATAAATGTACGCAACATATTGATTACCTGAAACTTCCTGGGGATAATAGGTTTAATGAAATTGCCTATCTTTAAAGTGAAAGCTGAATTATTACATTTTACAAAAGCCCACCAAGCTCTTTGATCTCAAAGAGCATTGAAATAAAATATAGCACATCAGCAGCATGTGAGGAATAGGTCAATCTAACTCTGTTATTTTATCCATTACAGACAAATATATGTGAAGGTACTGATATTTACTGGCACAGCACCATTGATTGTGACATCTCTAAACAAAACACATTTATCCTTGGGCTGGTAGACAATTCCACAATTCAATTCTAAAATCTAGTTCTTATTCAAAATCTAAGCAGACTGAAAGAGTGAATACAGATATGCACCCATAGAGAATTTCATTCATGTAACTTCAGTTAAATTGTGTCACTAAACTTGCACATCATTTTTCTCATCACAATGCTCACCTTAGGCAGCGTTTTCCCTCCATAAGATTTAATATTTTCTCCACAGAACAAGAGCAGCTCTCTTAAATACTAAACAAAAAACCTCTGAATTTGATCCACTTTGTTATCTGACTTCACATTTTCAATTGGTTTTGGAGCTCATGACAGTGCATAAATTCCTGCCAATCCTCCTTTATGCAGTTGAAATAAATGAAGTAGTTAACAAGGTAAGACTTTCAATTTCAGATAAGCCAGCTTAACTTTTCGTTCTTCACCAAGGCGTGGTGCCTCCCTGCCAATTCTTCCAAAACTTACAACCTACAAACACAGCTCCTCAAACAGTGATGAATTAAAACACATCACTGAGATTCATATAAAATAATATACTTTTGAATCCCTGTGGGCTGAAATATAATTCAAATGGTAGTCCATCAGAGAACTTCTGAAGGTAAGATAAAGATAAATCGCCATTTAAATGGACAGGAGTCTGATATATCTTCCTACGAGCTTTATAACCCACCTCCAAACTAAACTGATAAGGTGTCTGCCATAAATATGAAGTGGTTATAAACACTGGTGTCAAACTCAAGACATTTTAAAACCCAGGCACTTGATATTTGTTTTATGCAGAACTTCCCATTCTTAGCCATTAGTAGTTTTACACTCACTAAAGCATTTATATTTGGCTCAAGTTATACTGCCACATGCTTTTCTTGCAATTGGCACTAACAAGAATACCGAAGATTAGCAAAAGGTTCTCAGATACAATCAATTTAAATGAATTAGTCTTTTTCCACTTTGTATGCCAGTTCTAATTTAAGGCCATGGCATACTTACATAAGTTAACTGTAGAACATACTTTCTGACTGTTGCTCTTGAAGAAATAATATCCTCAGACTGTGTGTAAATCTTCCAACTGAACATTTAGACTTTGATATACACTTTTTAAATAAACAAATGGGACAAATTACTAGAACATTTTCGAGGCAGGGGGTAAAAGTAAAATTTGCTGTAAGTTAAGCTCATAAGGCACAGAGGTTTATGGGCTTGACTTGGAATGAAGACAGTGGGCCATAACTTGCCAATGGAACCCAGATGAGGTCACCTTGTTGGAAATGAAAGGTGCCAATTAACACATTAGGTGGGAGTTTTCGTAAAGAATACAGATTAACTTGTAAAAAGAACCTTTGCATGCATATTGCACACTCATAAATTCACTGACACTCACTTTGAAAAAAAAACTTAATGCTGAGTACATTTAAGTATTACCTTAACTCCTTAAAATAAGGATGTTTGAGTGCTTGCTTAGCCGATATCCTTTCATCTGGATCATAGGCACACATCTTGTAAATCAGATCTATGGCTTGTTGAGATGCATGAGGAACCAACTTCTCGACTCCACTTCCCTTCTTGGCGGGAAAGTTGAAATTCATTCCTCTTGTTTTGCTGAAACAATTTTAAATTCAAATGAAATGAATTGTAACAAAATCACTTGATGCTCAATTTTTTTATGACTGTTTTATTTCCAAGTTTTTTTTCTATTCCATTATTTTTATATCAACAATATGGTTCAAATGAACCAAATCAAATGAAATTTAATATTATACTGGTTTGTTGTTAAGGATAATTGATTTCAAAATTAAAAATTGTTTGATTATTTTTTAACAACACAATATCAATTTGGTAAAATGTGTGTGTGTGTGTGTGTGTGTGTGTGTGTGTGTGGCTTACTCAGATATTGTGCAATCAGAAATCCATATATGTTATAAGAGGCAGTTTTATAAGGAAAATACTCTTCTCAGAAAATGTATTAGGGTTGTAAATGATATATTACATTGAAAAGCATGCTGTTCTGGAAATGTGAAAAAATCAATCTTATTTTGAAATATGTCCATCTCTGTTGATAAATATTCACAACAATCAACTTACAAAACACTTTCAAATCAGTCAATAATATCTGATCTGGACATTTGGTAAACAATATCCGTCACCGACCATTAATCTTTCAATAGGCTTTTGTGTACTGAGCCATGAAGAAGTGTGACTTAGCACAAAAACAAGTTTAAATGCTTTTAAAAACAGAGCAAAATATGATTTATAGATAATAAACATCTGACACATTATTTCTTTATTATATTTGAGCACGCTAGGGCAAGAATATAACATTAAGTAACATAATCAATAGGATTTATAGTTTTGATCAATAAATAAGCACTAATCTTAGAGGTGGACTGCCCCATTTATTACTGTCATATTATCTCATGACCCCCAAAAAAACCCATCTATAATATAATAAAAAAAGTATATCAAATAAAAAAATACAATAAATACAATAAAAGTTCTTTGGTGCAAGTAATACTGATCAAGGAAGTACGTCAGTACCTCCTTGTGCTGGTATATAATGGATCAATATTTCAAAGACAAGACTAAATGTCAATATGACCTCTGTGGCTCTGAGTCAAAGCTCTGTTATGTCATAAAGCATGGGCTTTCTTTTGGGTCCGATGTGCATCCATTATAAAGGTCACATGAAAATCAATCTTATATTCATAATTAATAGTTTATGTCCGATCTTGTCCAGATTGGACTCCTGAAGTACCTGTGCACTTTCAAAACAGTTATAATAAAGCTCATGTGTACTAGTAAGTTATTACTTTGAAATTAGTTTAAATGCAAAAATAAACTTTGTCTTTATTTTAAAAATCTTCCAACTTTTTAACATTAGCCTGTGGTGTTGCATTCCAAACAATGTCTTGTTATATCATTTCGACATAAATAAACCAAAAGAGGCAATGTCTACCATTAAAGGTAATCTGTGCTTTACACCCATTACATGGTTTATAACACGTTCATCATTATCTTATTAAAACAGTGAAGATGCAGTTTATGAGCAGGTTTCTAAAGAGGTGTAACAATTGTGTATTTTGTTCAGAAGCCGACTGCTGAGAGGTGAAAAAATGTTTAATTGTTCATTGTTCACACTAAAACCATGTATATTGTCAGTCTAATATCCCTGCTCAAAAAGTGGATATATAAGATAAGTCAAAAACGGGCAATGCATTTATATGATCATTAGGTTTAAGGCAAGCTAAAACAAAGTGGCTTTCAAAACTTATTATCATATCCTATTTTCTTGTCAGCAAGTTGTTATGGACGCCAGAAAAATTTCTTTCCTTCAAAACTATCAATCCAATAGCTACACTTCCGAAACAACAACATTTATTTATATGGCAAAAAAATAAAACCAAAGTCTGTGTACTTACTTTCTCAGTTTGTTGAGAATGCTTGGGTCTGGAGTCCCTAAAACATCATGGATTTTGGCAATCTGGTCGACCTCATTGGAACCAGGAAACAATGGATGCAGACTAGTAAAAGGAAAACACACCTCATTATTCACAGCAAGCAGTCATTCTCAAAAAAAAACTTTTTTAATTGAAAATTAAAGATGGCAATATGCAACAGGTTGTATAGCAACAACATCTAGATAACAGCTATGAGCAATGACATAACTAAAGGTATAAAACGATGCCATAACCTCAACTAAACTGATTTCCTCCATTCCACCTCATTTTTAGTATATTTTTTTTGAATGAATTCCAGCAACAAATTTCTCAATAAATAAATGGCAAATGAAAAAATTAAAACTGTAAAGGCGCATTTATGTCTGTTTAACTTACCTGACAATCTCAAAGAAGACACAGCCCACACTCCAGATATCCATCTTGTAAGAATAATACCCATCTGTAAGAAGACATTCTGGAGCACGGTACCTTAAATTTAAAAAAAATTGCTCTAAATGTTGTTTTTTTAATTTGCATGTGCTTGAAGAAAGAAAAGAAAGTCTCACAAATCTACAGTTTAACACAACAGCTGCTTGTGTCACTAAAACTCAAACTTGGGGTATAGGATGCAAAATACCAGAGCAAAATACTCCATAATCATATGGGAGATAAAGTATACTTTACGACAGGGGATAAAGCATTTCTTTTCCTACTTTTCTCTAGATGTCAATGGCGTAATATCATTAGATTTCTCTTACTCTGATTAATTATGAAATATATTATCTCATCCTGCCCTTATAAACGACCAAGCATGATCTTGGATTTTATTTTTCTTCATTTAACATTTCATTGTTTTAAATGGGGCATAATTCAGTCATACAGTGGTAAAAAATAACAAAACCAGTTCTGATATCATTCAAAAAGTACTCACTACATGTATGCCTTAAGGATAAATGTATCACTCCCTTTAAAATACAAGGAAATATTATGTGCACGTCTGGTTAAATGAATTACAACAATGTGCAAATGAATAAAAAATTTAGACATTCTTTCAGATGAACATCTCAACAGTCGGTCAGAGACTTACCATCGTGTAGAAATATATTCTGTATATGGCTGTTTTGAATATATGCTTCTACATGAACCAAAGTCAGCCAATTTTAAAACATCATCCTGAAAAAAGAATTTTTTAACAAATTAGTCTGAACTAAACAAGTTCAAAATTATGTTTTAAATATTTTAATCACAACTCATAAAGCCCTTTACTTTAAGAATTTACCTTTATAAGAATGTTTTCTGGTTTAACATCTCTGTGAAATATTCCATTCCTAGAAAAAGAAAGAAATAGAAAAAATATATAATCATAATGTATATTCAAGTTTCAACAAAAAATCAATATCAATATCAGTAACTGAATTGGTAAATGTTAGTTTAAACAAGACCAGAATTAAGTAAATATTAAAGCAAAAATAAAAAGGAAACACATTGTAATAAAGCATCAGTGAAATTTGCCCGTTTCAGTGTTAATTTAGATAATTACGTATCCCTCAGAATCATTAAATGCAGAAAAATGTTCACCTATCACTTTTAGATAGAACATTACAGATCTCCAGCAGACCTCTTGCAAACAATTAAAAGGAGCAAATAAAACATTGTTAGTTCTTCAAACCATATACAGTTTCAATGGTTAAATTAAGTTCACACTTGATAATACGCCACTTCTTTCAAACAGTGTTGATGTGTTCATTCAGAAAGATACAGAATATTGTAAATAATACTAAGTAAACAAATAAAAAATGAAATGAAATATTATTGACAAGAATAATGTAATCAAAGGTCTAAGGAGGAGGAGGAAGAAAGCTCTCATTTGTTAGAGAGATGATGAATATCAAATGGGGATAAGAATGAAAAGAAATGGGTACAGAGAAAGATGTCTCCAGATATTTTCATAATATGACAAAATAATAAAATCATACAATTTGAATACGAAATCAAGTGAATTCTAGAGCAGTCAAACTGAACAGGGTTTTTAAAGAACAGAATGATAATCTTAAATCTTGTTTTAGCATAATTTTATTTCTGAAGTGAAATATTATAAAAAGGAGCCAAGAAGCAAGACTGCATCAATTCTTGTCATCCAGCTTTGTATTGTCTCTCTTTTTTGCTTTCTATTTTTCAATTCTTATCTTTTTTAAAATGAAACATTTTATCATGCTGCAGCATAATGGACTAACAGTGGGAGCACAGCTTACCTATGTAAGTGCTCTATAGATTTACATAATTGATACATATAAGGTTTGATGGTGGACTCCAGCAAGTGATGACGTTTTCCTAAAATGAAAAAGGTTAGGGTAATATGTAAGATTTGCTGCTACAAGATAATGAAAAACACCCTAGTGCAAGACACACACATCCTTTTGTCAGCATGATAAATCTATATTTCATTATTTTATTTTGCTTTCATCAAAGTTATTATTCAAGATGTTGTAACTGTAGGAAATTTCCCCGATTGCATTTATTTCTTTATCAACCAATATTAACAGATACCAGACCTCTTCCTCAAGTTCATACACCAAAAATCTATATTTTAGAGCAGAAAATCAATAATACCCACCGGTCAAAATCCTTATTTTTTTCGACAAGATAATAACTTGATTCATGGAAGAAGTTATTTGATCATGCAAAAGAAATAGTGAAAACATTTTATCATGCTGGTCAAAAGGAAAATTCTGCATGCAACAGATGTGAACAGTGCCAGGAAACACAATTGTGACAGTTGAACTCCACAACCCGAACACAATGCATTCACATCCCACATGGAAAGGGGGGGGGGGTTTCTCCACCATATGTTCTTACCTATGCATAAATTCTATGGATTTGAGTAATTGATACATGAAGAGTTTGACCTTTTGAGTAGGGAGATACTGTCTTTTGCCTGAAAAATGACAACTGGTTATACAATGCTTGTGTACCACATTACCATTTTTGCACAGAAACATATATGTTAAAGATATACATCAAATAAAACTAAAAATACCCAAAAATTAATTGACTTTAAAAAAAACAAGAGAAAAACAAGATGCACAATTAAATAAATAAATAAATATTTTTTAATAAAAAAAGGAACAAACATCAATACATGCAAGAACATCAGGAAACAACAGGTAGGAAAAAAACCCACTCAAAAATTACTTTTAGGGTGACATTTAAAATGAAGTCTCAATAAATTATATCAGTAACAAGTTTAAAGTAATTAGTTTCCATCTTTAGCTGCCGACTACTCTCTGAACTGGTAAGGTTCAATCTAACATTTTAACTCCAACCAGTAAGTTTAAGTGATTGCTTGAGTTTTCTTAGCAACTGGTAACTGATGACTATTACGACGCATTATCACAACTTTAATCCAATTTATATCCAGAATAAACTGGTCTGCTGCACTGCTCTTGAGCAAAATCAGTAGATTTTCCTTATTTGTTGAACACTTCAACTCTGTCATAAATGTACATCTGGCAGATTGAACATCAAAATCATTCAAATCCAGTAATACAATATTTTGCTGTATGATGATAAATGTAAGAGGAGTTAATTTTCTTCTGTTCTAAGGATTTATAAATGGAAACAGTTATTTTTTAAGTCAACCAAGTAAGAATCTTATACGAGTACATAGCTTTTACTTTAAAAAACTGATATTAAAACTTTAAAGAAAGGAAGAAAACTATATCAAAAAAATTATAGAAAAATATATTTCACTTTTTTCACGGCCTAAAAAACTGTTTTACTACAATTTGACACCAAATACATCATTTACTTGTCTTATTCTCTACATTAAAAAAGGACAGTTGGTTAAATCACTTGTCCGTATTAAGAAATCATATTGAAAGTTATTGGTTAAAAAATCTTTTTATAAACTTTATAAATTCCAAGGTTAACAAAGTCATTCATTTATCTCAATTTGATGAAGTACCATCCTATATAACAGCAGGCATTTCTGAAAAGTTGGCTTGGTGAAAAAAAAAAAACCTTCACAAAAGACAACAAACGTGTGGTTATCCCTTCATGTTTAAATATTTACACAATTTATTAGATTAGGGAGGAAAATGTATCAATGTCTGTGTACACAATAATCTCATAACCCTATGCGACTGTAAACATGGTAATCAAGTTGAAACTTAATTGAACAACAAACTTGGACTGAAGGCACCGTCACTTGCTCTAAGTAAATGCCTTGAGTGTTGACAAGCTTAAAATCAAATAAAAGTACTCAATATGGAAGAAAGTCTGCCAATGTGCCATGCTATCAAGCCTCTGGCAATACATAAATGGTTTGAATTCCCTAATTAGATCTCGTATGAAGTGCAAACAGAAATAACTTTCAAATATTGACACAATCAAACTTACTCTCTTGGTGCTTTCATACTCTCAGACTCAAACATGATGAACTTTTAGTTAGAAACAGAATCCGAAGCATCAGCATTTTATGTAATTATGATTTTTTAATTCTTATTTTAATCTTGATCACTTACTTGGTCATCACGGATTACCACAAAACACAGCTTATTTGCTGTTCAACTACCCCAGTGAGAATAAGACCAAGAGTCTGACATGAATGCTACTGCAGTGTTATGACTGTTATGTTTTCTTACCAAATGTTATGACAATAACATACACACACTTTGCCCAAAGGTGGCATTTTTACCCCCCAGAAAGAAAAGTGTAAAGACCTTTCAGAAAAATATGAAAATAAAACTTAATACCATCACTACTGTATTTTTCCTTCTGTATATGGGTCATTTAAGTCAAAAACACATTTACTTAACTTAATATAAAATAAAAATAACACCAAAGAAGACAGCATGAGTATAAGAGTATGCAGTCCCATTGCATCTATAGATTTTATAATTCAAATAATAATATTCCACTGGTTTTATCAATACAGTATTTAAAGAGTCTTTCACTATTTAAAACAAATGCATACCTCTTATTAGCTCATATATATTCATATCCATGAGTTCACAAATAAGCACCAAGACCCCAGTCTTCTTGTCACTGGCAAAGAGAAAAGAAAATATAAAAATTACCAACAATTTTGAATTATAAAATATGAAAAAAAAAAAATCAAATGCAGTTTATACAATCCATACCCATAATATATATGAAGGCACAAACAATGAACACTACTTAAGCTTTGACAAGATAAAATTAACATCAGTTTAGTTTCCATTTTAGAAATATTTGAATTTACCTTAATCCTTAGTCTTAAAAAAAAAAACAATCACACATGTTGTTGATTCAACTGTCAACATCACTTGAACTGTTGTGTTGTTCTGAGTGAGATTTACTTTTTTATAATGTAAAGTTACCTCATTTACTACTTAAAACACGTAATTAACTCAATTGCAGTAGAAAATCACAATTTAAAAAAAAAACTAACGTGTTTGCATGTTTAAATTTTCAGTATCCGAATCTTATAAATTACTGCACTACATAGTTGGGAGTGTTCTGGCTGAGTATTGTCAGGGTCCAAAGTTACACACACAGGGCAGGTCAAATTACTGTACCTGATACCTATACTAGTGGTGCCCGTGAAATTTCTCCAAAAGAACCACCAAAAAGGTTACAGACAACATTAATGAAACTGTATGTAGGTTATACTAATCAGGAAAAAAAGATAGGAAGGTAGACTGGGTTCCCATCCCTAGAACGATCTAACAGGATCGGTCCATCTCCACGGTGTTTCCTGCTAAATTGCTTTCAGCTTAGGTGGCTTAGATGTCTGGCATTCCTGCTAAAGCTGCTAAACGATAGTTAATTACCCCCTATCAGCTTCAGTAGGCATGATAGACATCTAAGCCACTTAAGTTAATTGCAATTAAGCGAGAATCCCCTTGGAGATAGTTTGATCTAAAGTTAGTACGATAGTCTCTGGGAATGGTCTCTAAGACTGGGTTCCCATACTCAGATCGATCCAACTGGATCGACCTAACTCCCTGGGGGTTCACACTAAATTGCTATCAGCTCAAGAGGCTTAAATGTCTGTTGCATTAAATGCCTATTGTATCAGCCAGGGGTAAAGAAAATTACCCCTTACAGCTTTACTAGGCGTGACAGACGTTAAAGCTGGTTAGTTTGATAGCAAATTAGTGAGACTCCCCAGGGAGATAAATCGATCCAAATATCTGCGGGAATGGTCCCTAAGAGAGGGGAAGGTATCAATCTGCAAAACTTGAAGGAATGGTATCAAGTACAAGTTACTGCACTTTGAATACTAACATCACAAAAATGAAGAAATCTGAACAGAATATTAGCAGCCCAGGGTAATGAACCTACATCCATAAATACAAATTACTAATGTGACCATGAGTAAAATATGATCTTTCCATCATGCAAAGTGTTACTCCAATGAACCTTGTTAGTTACTATTTGTTTTCTAATCTGTCTGTGAACATATATATACAAAGTGCCAACACAGAATGCTAAGGATCAATTATTAAACAATTAAGAACTAACAGCCCACTTTCTCCACCTCAAATATTTGATAGAAGTTAGATTAATGAGTCATAGAAACAGCCAAATACAAATGGTTAAAATCAATATTTTATGTTCAAGTCAGTTGACAGTATATAAATACGTTCAGAGAATGACTCAAATATAAGATGTTTCAAAGCGCTCCAAAAACCAATCACTTGAATAGGGTTTCTTAACTGACATCTGGTTTGCCGACTACGGAAAATACCACAATCACTACATCACATTAAAAAACCTGATAATATTTTCCAATGTATGTTCAAATCCAATTTCCAACATTTTATTCAACACCCAATGTAGAAAAATAAAATAATGTTAAAATGTCACCATTTTTTAATACTTGAACATATTTAAGCTCTGTTCAAAATTCCACATTCTGTAAAAAAGTTCTAGATTCAATTAAAAAAAATTAATATGCACAGTACTCACTATAGAATCTCATGTAGGTTGATAACATTGGGATGTGGATTCAACCTTCTCAAGGCCTGGATCTCACGCAAGTTGTTCACCTGCTCCATACTAAAATTGAAAATTAAAATCTGATAAAATGCTTACCAATACCCCTCTCTGAGTTGTAAGGAAAGAAAGGTCACAACTAAGCAACTTAAACTATTACTTCTACAAATATCTATCATGATAAAAGGCAGAGAATATATATTAGAACAAGAGATGGTAAATAAATAGCATATATTATTTGTAAGCAGTATCAAATTTCTAAAACACACAAAAAAGGCAAACAATTAAAAAAATTATTCAAAAAAGCACCACACCTGTCATAATGTTGCTTCATTTTCTTGCATGCCCAGTAAGAACCTTCTTTTATGTGTTGGCATTTCAGCACCTCTGAAAAGGTCCCTTCCCCTTTCTTACCGAGGACCCGATACTCTGAAATAATAAATCAGGTTAATAGTTCCACAAGACATGCATTTAACAAAAATAATGGTTGCCTTTAACCATGAAATAAATCCATTATTTTCCTACTGGGAGGCCTGCACATTGAACATGTCATAGGCTGAATATTAATAACAGTATTATCAAACACCTTACCAAACAATTAGTACTCAGTGCATTTTATATGACATGATAGATCAAGGATACAGTCTTGGTTTTTTTTTTTTTTTTTTTTTT